CAAAGATGGGACAATCCGAAGACAGGTGTCAAGAAGAAGGTGGTAACTGTCCTGGGATACCAACATTGTTTTTGTGGTGTGGGTCTGTGGTAACACAGAAGTCTACCGACATCGGGTTGTCTGAATACAACCAATAGCCAAAGCAGCTACCATGTAGGTTTTGGAAACAGGCAGCCCATGTGAATGCTGCCAAACAATAAAATGCTTAGAGCAACACTTAATATCTACTTTTGATCAGAAAAGTTGCACCTTTTCTGCCTGGCAAGCCCACATTTCCAGACATCTGAGTCCCTCTGTGAAATATTTGCTCTGTATCTCGGCAGTGGTTTATTTGTCTGTTAATCACATTCCTTTGCTTACAGCAGAGATCTGGAGATTTGCTGTTGCTTCCAGCTTTCATGCTGAAAGGGCTCCACGTTTCTAAAACGAAACTTGCTGTTTATGAAGAAAACTATTTGCAGACATTCTCTAATTGCGGATGACCTCTTGCAGACACTAACTTTCTGGATCTTTTTCCAAACTCACTGTATTTTTCCCCTCAGCTGCCACAGAGGTTACTTCTTCAAACCCTCTCCCGTCTCTGCCTTGAATCTGTTTATACCTCCCTTACCTCTGTTGCCCTTTCTCTTTTGACAAGGCTGCTAAGGTATACAGCAGAGGAGCCAAACCTTTACATTTCCTCAGATTTAAGGCACTCAACAAAAAGCTTCCCCATTTTTCCAGTACCTCACTGTATCCAACAACAGCAGTTAAGGGTGTGGAAGATATTGAGAAAAGCTTCAAAGGACAATTAGCCTTGGTAACTCCCAGCAGTACAACACGAGCACTTTACTTTCTGCATCTGAGTAACTGTGGCAGGCCAGAGGAAGGTCATGTGGGCAGTGGTGCAGAAACCAGGGAAAGAGGACCAGCAGTGTCACAGTGCTGAAAATTTCTGCAGAAAGGAAAGAAAAAAACTGACTGCAAGACATCATCATGAGCCAGGACAGTCAAGCCGAGGGTTGAGGTATTTATTTTTGCTAAATGTTAGGAAGGTATTCTGTCAGGCAGCTCTGAACTTCTTGTTCTATAATTAAAGAGGCCTGAGAGTCTCCTCATTTGATAACATGTTTCAGCTGTTTAAGGAAAAATACTAAAATCCATAAGACTTGCAACCAAGACATGAAAGACCAGGAGTTCAGTAGGACTCTAGACTTATGACAGGCAGGGTTTTTTTGTCAAATAAAAGAGCAAGCTTTAAAAAAGGTATTTCAACTAAGCATTATGCTCTATTCTATTATGTACTCCATAATTACATTTTATAGGTTTAACAAGAGAACACTTACTTGCAAAAATTTAATCCAGAATTAAAGTAATCGAAATAGATCGAGATGAATAACATGACCGAAATTTTGCTCTCAGTAACTCCTTTTAAGTGTATGATCTGCAGCATAAATAAGGAAAGAGAGTACAAGATTTATTCCAATAATGACTTCCTCTTTTTTTTCAAAATGCATTTATTTACTAAGTACAATAACCAAGGCTTATATCCTAATCGTTCTTGTGAGAGCCATTTAATATTAGAATTTTAATTTTGGGCACTTAACTGCAGCTTCAGATACATCTAAAAATGTTGCCAATGAAATGGATTCTCCTAACGAACTTTGCCAGGAGAAGATACTGTCAGAATATCTTAAATCAGGTTCTCTAGAGGAACTTGTCAGGTCATTGAAAAAGAACTTGTTACATGCTCTTTCAGCAAAGGGAGACTAGAGTGTATTTGCCAGTGTATTTGTGACATTCAGGACAGATAATCATACTCTTCACCAATGCAGCTATGACAGCTTGTACGGGTAGAGTAGACTGCTGCCTGAGAATTTGAAAGAGAACAAGCAACTGTGAATGGCCCTGCCCCAAGAGGACAACGAGGTCTGCTGCTAGTCAGCCCCAGCAGCAGCAGCCTTCTAGAGAGTCAGATGATGGAAAAAATGAGAACAAAGGTGAGAAAATATGTTAGAAATGAGATTAGTAATTATATGCTTTGAAGCAAAATGAGCTGTTACCAGCAGCTGGAGGGGTTTGTTGAAGTGCAATACATCTTTACCTGAACACGAGGGACTGCTTAATCAGGGGAGTTGGACAAGGTGACCCCAAGAGGTCTCTTCCAGCCTCAATCATCCTGTGATTCTGCGCCTTGTCAACAGGGCTAAGTGACAGAGGGCCAAGCTTGTGCCCCACGCAGAGCTCTCTCCCTGACTCCGGGATAGCCTCTTCCAAGACAGGAGCAGGCAGAGCTCCCCACTGAATCCCCACTGGCAGCACCCCAGCAGGGAGGGTGGAAAAGGCCAGGTTCCAAGGCAATCCTGGCAGGCCTTAACTGGGAGCGTGAGACTGACTAGACTGGGGCCAAGGGGCTGTCTAACTGATGGTGTCCAGCCTCAAGCACTGGCATTTCAAGAAAAGTAAGAACAAGGCAATCACATAACTGCACTCCCCCCTTAATACTGCTCCAACCTCTGACCATTTTAATCTTAGGGGGTTTCCTAGGTAAGTCGTCGTTTGCCTATTTAGTAACCTACAATGAATTTCTTTTTCAGGTGCTTTCCCAGGCTTTCTGTGGACCCATGTGCTATGTGCATCTACAACATCCTTGGCAAGGTGTTCCCCAATTATACTACGTGTTATGAGACGAGATACTTATTTTTCCTGCTTATGAGCCTGGCTCTCATTAGAGAGTTATGTTATTCCCCAGTTCTTGCTTGGGCAAAGGCAGTGAATCTCATCCCAGTCAGCTTCTGCACTTCCTACCTACCTTACACCACCTCTTTTCTGAGCTGAAGACCTTAAACCTTTTAACTCACAAGGTTTTACATAAATACCTTAGATCATCCCACATGCCTTTCTCTTGACCTTTTCCACTTGTAGATCCTATCTGTGATGAAAAGACCAGAAGTGCACAAAGTTAACAAGGTGTGGGTGAACCATGGCTTTCTACAAAGCTGAGCCGATGCATGGAATGATGTATTATGATTCATAGTGGTCACTGCCGAACAACATTTTGTACACAAAGCTATGACTGGATTTCCCTACGTGCATTACTTCACACTTACCAATGCTGAATTTCACCCTATTTCATGCTGTCATGCACACTTTTGGGTATGTAGCCCAAGCATTTCCTTAGAGAAACACCACTCTAGTGAGTATCAGTGTAGACCTCATTATTTTAAACACTTTGAACTGGAAAGAAAAAAAAAAAACAAAAAAAAAAAAAAAAAAAAAAAAAAAAAACAAACAAGAAATGACTGAGTGACTTTGGATGATCTCTGGCCCTCTCATGTATCGGTGTAGATGTAGCCAGACACTGAACCCAAAACAGAGCATAGTTGGTCTAGGGAAGGTTTACCAAGGCACCACCAGCCCCGACCATCCCTGCCCAGCCCCCCGGGGCTCCCCCCACCCTGCCCATGGCCCGGCACCCCATGTCAGCCCCCGGGGCTCCCCCCACCCTGCCCATGTGTCGTGGTTTAGGCCTGATTGGCAGCCAACCACAATGCAGCAGCTCTCTCTCCCTTCCCCTCCAGCAATGAGAAGGGACAGAGAGCCAGGCTTGGGGTTCAAGATAGGACTGGGATGGGGAAAAATCCCCCTTTTATGATCACGAGCAAAAGGCAGACTCATTAGGGGAAGGAAAAAAGAACATACATTTATTACAGACACTAACAACACATAACAGAGTAGGACAGTGAGAAGAAGCATTGCCACATCTTGTGAACACCTTCCCCCCACCCCTCCCTTCTTCCCGGGCTCAGCTCTGCTCCCGATATCTCTACCTCCTCCCCCAGTGGCGCAGGGGCAGGGAATGGGGGGTGCAGTCAGCGCTGCCACTTCCCTCATCTTCGGTGAGGGGAGTGTCTGAAACTTGTTCCTCCTGCTCCATCGTGGTCCCCCTCTCACAGGAGACAGTCCTCCACAAACTTTCTCCGACATGAATTCCTCCCACGGGCCGCAGTGTTCCCCACACTGCTCCGTCATGGGTCACTAACTTCCTCTGACTGGATTCCCTCCCACGGCTGCAGCCCTTCCCGAGCTGCTCCGGCGTGGGACTCCCCCGCATGCTGCAATCCTCCCAGCGCTGAATTACAGCAACGGGGCTACCTTTTCCCATGAGACCCTGGCCTTCTTCGGGCACAGACCCTTGATTAGGTGAGCAGGAGCCACAGGCCATAAATCAATGTCTGCTCCACCGTAGATCTCCATGGGTGGCAGGGGGGGCCACCCTGCCGTCTCACCACAGGATACCGGGGGGTCTCTGCTCCGGCACACCTCCCCCCTCCTTTCTTCCTCCGTTCCTCCACTGACCTTGGTGTTCACGCAGCTGCAGCGACTCCTCCTCACCAGTCCGACTGCTCCTCACCACGTCCCTTCTTAAATACGTTATTGCAGAGGCGCAGCCGATTGGCTCCCCTGACACCAAAAAACTCCACCACTCACTCAACCCAGGACACCATGGCCCAGCACCCCATGTCAGCCCCCGGGGCCGTCAGCCCCTGCCCCAGCAATCCCCCAGCAGGGCCGGTCTCCAGCTCCCCACAGCCCTGCCCTGCCCGGCCATGGGCCCCGCCGAGCCGGGCCCCCCCGCGGGCCCGTGACCCACCCCCATCCCCAGGGAGGTGCCCGATGCCGGGGCTGGGGCTGCCCTGGTGCCCCCGGCTGCCCTGATCCAACGGGCCCCGGCTGCCAGGCCCCTTCAGATATGCACTGAAATTTAAAAATAAATGTTTTTGGTGCACCTATTGGACAAGGAGAAGGATTCCAAGTTAGCCAACACCTCATTCAAGTATTGCTGGGTTTAAAATCTGTGTGAAGGGCGTATACCAATGCCAGCTTCTAAGATATATATATATATATATAAAGAAAGAAATTAACATGCATGCAAAGAAAAAAAAAATCGATCTTCGAGATGCATGGGAAAAATAAGAGACTTAAAATGATACAGAAACCTAAAAAAAGCACAACAGCAATGGAAAACAGATTTGTTTTATTTCAAAACTTGGTTTCCTTGCCCTCTTCTAAGCTTGGAATTTTCTCACACATGGCAGGAGCAAATAAAGGAAAGAATCTTCAACCATGTCCTTTTTATTTTTTTTTTTTTTTAATTATTATATATAGAAAAAAATACCAAGCGCATTCATAGATTAAATTGCTAAACAGTAATTAAAAAAACAAAACAAAACAAAACAAAACAAAACAAACCCAAAAAAACAGAACACAAAACCAAAAAGAAGCCTATACATTCATGTCTTCAGTAAAATTACATTAACCACAGAGGCAATCAAGTAAGCATGTTGCTCAGAACCCATATTCCGCAAATCAAAGGCAATATAGATACGAACTTCTCAGTAACCTCTCAAATGGCAACCTACATGTATGTGTACATATATTTTTTTTATATATATATATATATATATATATATGTATGTCAACTCACACCCACTGACCAAGGAGTGTAGAAGTCTTGCTACCTTATAATGCTGCAGAAGGACATGTTTCCAGTGTCAAAGAACAGCATGTTGGGCCACTTTTAAAAATCATTTCTTCTTCTCTTTGCTAAAAAATTCCTCCAGAACTTCACAGTATACACCATCAAACTCAAAACATTGCTGTCTTCGGGTTCATTTTTATATTCCTTTCTCAAGGAACAATCCCACTGACCCAAATGGGAATTTTGCGTAATCTGAGCTAACGAGAGGCTAGTTAATAAAATGGAATGAAGAGGAACCTAAGTGAGATATCCTTTCTGTTCCTTTTTAGAAAATGCCAGAGGAGGGATGAAGGGCTATAAAGTGTTGCATGAAGCTAGAGAGAAGAACATTTCCAGTCAGTTGTAAGCATCTTTTCTCACTTGCAAAAGAAGCAATTCGTTATTTTTCGAAATATAGCAGTTGATGTCCAAAGTGCAAAGTTTCTGCCCTTTTGGCTCTGTTTGGTGTCAGTTACAGTGCAGGCACACTACAGCACATTTTAAGAGGCACTAAGCTCTTGAGGATCAGATTCAAGATAAATCAGTGAAAATCTGTGTTAGATCTAGGAGAAGTAATAGCTTTCATTGTAAAAATACTTCCATGTTTAAAAAAAAAAAAAAAAAAGAAAAAGGAGAGAGATTTCAGTATAACTTCCAAAAATATTCTGCCACAGCAAAATGCTGAAAACACTTTTGTTAGTGAGAAAGCTGGAATTCTGTGAAAGTGGACAGTGAAGGGACTTGACGAGCAAGGTGAAACCATGCACTGATAAATTAATACACAGGTTTGCAAAACATAAGTAAACTGACTGAATTTCTGCCTGAAGGATGTGTGATCGTTTAGGAAGAGCCGTCGTTCTTTCTTTGGATGTCCTGGAGCAAGCAGGCATTTTGGAGTATGTGCTAGAGCTGACACAGGATCTCAGAGCCCCGGACTCACGGAGGAACATATTCAGTAGGTTCCTCTCTTTCAGCACATGCAAGGTGATTTAAAGTAGCAAGCTCATCTCACCACACATCTGCACCCAGCACACAGGCTAGTGGTGCGGGGTAGCTTCCAGGCAAGTTGATGGGAAGGTTTGGACAGATTACATATCACTAAGGTTGGTCTTGTGGGCAGCAAATATGCAGATCAATTAAAATTAACACTGTGAAAATGCCACAAAACACTTCAGATGGCTTTTGAAAAGTGGTACTAGGTACACTCACATTTATCCTGCTCTAAGAACTGACAATACTTTAGCAAAAGATAAGACATATAAATATCTCACTGTTGATTTTGTGGTTATCCAGCCTTTATTGTGGAGCAATTTAGTGGTGGAAAACCATGTTTTAATCGTGTCATAGACAACGAATAAAGGCAGTTTTTAAGGACCTTGGGTGTTGTCTCTCACTTAGGCTCAGGAGCTCAGAAATCAGTATAGGTATGCTCGAGGCAGACTTAGCATGTGTTGTCTGAACCGACTATCCACGATGTCGAAGACAGCCTCCTACTCAGCATTGGATGGAGCCGCAGCACTGCAAAAGGACATCGTATAGCTTTGTCTCACTTGTGAGGGGAAAGTTGTCTGGCTCTGTCAGGTGCTTTTCGGCTCTTCACTGTCAGTGAGGGCCTGAAGCAGGTAAAAAGCTGAAAATGCAGGAAGAACTTTGCCTTTGGCTCTCCCCGGTACATATTCTGTAGCAGTTGTCTTTCCAAGCACGCAGGCAGTTGTTGAGATGTGAGAAGTGTTCAAACAAGACACAGGATATGCAAACAAGCTGGAGGAGGATATTTCAGAGAGAAGCCCCAAACACAGGACTGCACAATCAACCTATTTCCAGGGTATTTGATACCCCTCCCATTCTCAAGCATTGCTTTCATTTTTAACTCTCTCTGTTTGCCCTCTGGAAAGAAGTTTGTTCCTGACATCTGGCCATAGGGACGGGTTTTCAGCTGGTTCCTGCTGGAACAGAGTCACTCCAGTCTGTGGTTGAATTCTCATATATCCAGATGAAAATCTGGTTAATAATCCACACCACCGCCGGAAGGAAAATAAACTCACTGTCCATGCACTGTATAGAGCTACATTCTCTGATGAGGGGGATGGTGCTTCTGCGTATAGCCTATAGTGAATTGGTGAAAATTACTTCTTGATACCAATCACGTATGAGCAGCAGCATTATTACTGTAGTAGGTCAATGTGAGAAAATGTTTTCTTAAATCAACAGCTCCCCACCGTCCTGAGAAATTAATAACTTCAAGAAATTAAAATATAATCCACTCAGCAGCTGAAGTAGTCTCAAACACTGTTAGTTCTAGCTTTCTTTTCATTGTATATTTTGTTATATAAAATTGAAATAAATAAGGCAACCTAACCTTTGAAAAGGTTAGTGTGGTTTGGTTCTGATAAACAGTTGGGTAAGTGTTGTGGTGAATTCACAGTGGCTATGAATTATGCATTAATGGTAAGACGACAAGCTATTTTTACTCACTTTTTTATAGAAATACAAGAGAAAAAACAATACATTTAAAAAAAAAAAATTAAAAACAAACCACAAAAAGAACAAAACCAGCACATTGCTTAGAAAAATAATTCCCCTACCCCAAATCCAACTTCAGTGTATGCTCTATTTCATATACAGTAATATTTCACATTCAATGTGAATCACAAGCCTTTGATTAAACACTGAGATCATACACCCTGAAAGTAATCCTTGTTCTAAACTTATCCCTTGGTTTCATGCAGTAGGACTAATCCCAGGCCAACCCCTAATTATCAATGTTGGGTTTGCTTCAGTGCCTTCTTGAGTAAACTCCGTTCCTTTAACGCTTCCACTTCTCACCAGAAAATTCTGAAGTAGGATGCTCAATATGAGTATGGCTTGAATTCTGCCACTGTCACTGGAGCAAGGTATTCTGAGGGTAGCCATTCAGAAAGAAATGTTTTCTGTGTCTGCGCATGGATCTCACAGGTGCCTTTCTTCTGGGGGATGTCTAAGGCTAAAAAACACTTTCCTGCCTTTTCAAATAGACCTTTACTCCTTCTAACCCATCCATAGGTCCGCTTGACATTGACCTGGCTGACATGGTCCTTCCAGAGAATACGCTTTCCCTTCTGTTTTCCAGACTGTCACTGAGCGGTACCTTAGAGCGAAACACTTGCATGAATTTCTGGTAAAATTCTTTGGATGCAAAATAATAAATGAAGGGATCTATGCAGTTGTTGAGGCAGCTGAGGCACAAGGTGAGCTTGTAGGCAGGGTACAAACTCCTGTCATAAAACAGGCGGACGATCATATGCACAAGTAGAATAAAGTTATTGGGGGCGAAGCAAGTGATGAATACCAGAAGGACTATCACTGCCAGGTATATGGATCTAGTCTTCTGCCTGTTACCATATCTGTTCGATGTCTGAATAAGTTTCCGAATGGTGCCAATGTAGCATACAACCGTTACAACAAAAGGGATCAGGAAGAGCACAACAAACAGCGTCAGGAGGAAAGCTACCCAGGCTGCAAAGTTGGGCAGCATATTCCATTTGAGGACATCAAAACAGGTTATAATCCCCAGTTCTTCCACTTCATAGGTCAGATCTGTGCTTTCTAATGGGTAGAAAGCTAGTAGCAAGAAAATCCACATACCTAGGCAGGCAGCCAGGGCATATCTTTTTCTTCTCCACTTGATCAACTTCATGGGATATACCACACCCATGTACCGCTCGATGCTGATACAGGTCATGGTCAGTATGGAAGAATACATGTTGGAGTAGAACATCACAGTCACGAGGCTGCAAAGAGTCTTGCCAAAGCTCCAGTGGTTGCTTTGGATATGATAAGAAATTTGGAAGGGAAAGCAGCTGGCCAGCATGAGATCCGTGATGCTTAGGTTGATCATGAAGATAACAGAAGGTGTTTTGGGTTTGATGTGCCAGCAGAGCACCCAAAGGGAGAACAAGTTGCCAGGGATACTGATCGTAGCCACCAGTGTATACACCACTGGGAGGGTAATGGAGATAGCTTTATTCTGGAGCATTGCCAGAGTTTCAACATCCAGCTGGGATGATCCGTTTTTAACCATTATTCACAAGGAGGTTGTTGATTCCTGTAAGCCAGCTGGATCATATCATGAACACTTGGCTTAAAATCCTAGAGGACAAATGTCAAGAGAGAAAATCAATATGTCAAAACAGAAATTAAGAACATACTTCAGTTAATCAAACTAAGAAAAGGCCCTGTGTAGTTTGACAGATTATCTCTGGATGAACTGAATCCATTAAAACTGTCTCCTGAAAATTCTCTCCTCCCTTCAAATCATGGTAACGTTTTACCAGTTTCACTTCTTCCTAGCTTCAAACAGCTACATTTTCCCTGCTGAATGGCTTTCTGATACTTTTTGAGGTCTATACTTTTCATACCTCTTATGTTGTTGTAACATGAAGAAAATCACATATCACAAATTGAAATTAAATTGATGTCTGCATGAGAACACTGTGCCACAGGATTTCCATGAGCTAAATCTGTCTTATCTACTCTAGATGTCATGAGCTTGTTTCTTGTAATACACAGTATTTTCTGACTTTTCCCCTCCTCCCCAACTAAACAGTGATCCATTCCAAGTAAGTGCTGGATATTTTTTTTTTTAACTTTTTTTTTTTTTTTTTTTCCCCAACTGGGGAAAGGAGAACATGGAATCAATTATTTTTGCTATATTCATGATGTAAACAGAATATCAGGAAAACACCATGTATAATCAAGAGCCAGGGACAGACTGCAGTTGCTTAGAGTGGTTTACAGGCTGAAGGGACCAGGCTAAAGAAGTAACAAGCCCTCTTCTAACAAAAAGAAAAGCTATTGAGTTTCAATTTCTGCAAAATGTCAGATATTAAAAAATGTTCTGTTTGCAGCTGTCTTATTGGCGTCACCTGTAATTCTGCAAAATTAGTTTCAGGTTTGCAGTCTGCAAAGCAAAACCATGCTTTCACTATCTGGCCTATATGGATGTCTATTGGCAGATGCAAGAGCTTATGGTTTAGCTTAATTGTTTTATATGGTATAAGACCATTTAGCAGCTGCAAGCAAGACCTCAATGCCTCAGTGTGCTACGTGCATGTGTGCTTACTTTCATTAAGCTGCAGGTATAGGGGTGCAGTTTCACAAAAGGACAGGGTTCAAAAAGTGAAGAAGTGGCAATGAATGACCAGAAAAGCAGAGGACAGAGCAACAGTAAGTTCTGTAAAGAGTGGTAATAGGGGCCTGAAAAAGGCACCAGGCCAAGCCAGCTGATTACCATGGGCATGTCCGTGCAGTTTAATAAAAGAGGGGCAGAGAGTGGGTTCAGGTACACACTCCTACTTGTGGACTCTGATCTCCTGCACGGTTTAAACCAAGAATCTCTGTGCAAGACATGCCTGCTATAGGAGGTTAGATTGAAAAACAAAGGTGCCAGTCAGTTGGTATCGCTTAACCTCAAATCTAGTAAAATAAGACCTTTAATTTAATTGTGTGATCATAGCCCATGAGCAGTGTAACAGGTCAGTCCCTCAGAGAGGTCAGACCTCAGTGCTGGCTAACGTTAGCTGGAAATAACCATTCTGACAAAGCCTGTGATTTCTGACAGAGGCTTTTATTGAATAACTTACTAGACTTTTCACAAAATAACTGTTGATGGTTCCTGAGACCTGGCAAAGGTGAAGTCTCTACTGAAGGCTGCAGTTCAGTAGAGAGGTACTCAACTCTAAAAATAAGCTGAGTGCAGATCCAGAAAAAGTACAGCCGCAGCAGCAAGAAGCTCAGTGGGGGCTTATTTCTGTTGTTTCTTGGTCTGATCAATTTGACATAGTGCTTCAAATATCTGATAAAAATATTCAGAAGTAGTGAGAGTCAATATCAAACAAGTGTTATTAACTAATGTTGCCAGTCTTTCAGGAGCTTCTAGCTGAGCTTTGGAAGCCCAGAAAAAGGCACAAGAAAATAGGGGTTGCGAAGAAGTCAGAGATGCATACCTAACATATCATGCACATGCCACAGGGCAAACATGTTCCAAGTAATGAGCATATCCCATGATCACAACTGCAAAAATCCCCTTGAGCCAAATCCATTGCAGAATAACTTCTATTATTGTCAGTGGAGATGTATCAAGAAGGAAACTTACTCTTCAGTTTTCATGGGAACTTGAAAATCACTGACAAAAAGTTCTTGGAAAAATTCCCTAGTGCTATCTATTTCAACTCTTCTATCTATGACTTACCATAATAAATACCTATTCATGAACTCTACTGCTTCAGAAATCCTTCTCAAGTGGCACCCCTTTGTGCCTAAGAACCCTAAACTTCCCAAAACAAACAGAAAAATTTTATCTATATCAAAGTATCTACAGAGCTCTAATAATAAGCCTTTGAAAGTGAAAGATATTTGCTCTCACAGGCTAAGGCATCTCACCCCTAGATAATATTCCTATAGAAGTTGTATGTACTTGGGAGATACGAGTATAGGTGAAGGTGAAAATTTCCATTAAATCTCACATTGGTCATAAAGCTACTGAATACCTTTTACGTGCAGTTTTGTGCTGGGACTAATCACAGTATTTTCTTCTAAATCTATTTTTTTTTCTTTCTAATCACAGTATTTTCTTCTAAACTTGCTTTTGCTGAGATAAAATCCTGATAAGGAGATTAAAGCATGTGTAGATGCTGCAGTACACAAAACAGCATCAGGATTCATGGCCTGGCTAAAGGCAAATTTTCTGCACCTTTGGAACACTACCATCGGTAAAACAAAAGTGCCTCCCAAATACAAGCACCTCTTGAATAGGGATTGAAAGGCACCAGACTTTGTGGTTAGGTGCCTGCAAGATCTCTCCAAAAAGGGTAAGTAGTCCCTTTGGCACTGTTTTCGGTGCAGAAGATGTCTGTCACAAGGAGCAAAAGAAGAATAATGCTACGGTCCCTTAGTGTCTTCTGCAGGGGAGGTGGAGTCATGCAAAGCACACAAGACTGTGGTTGCAAGTTATTCTCGAGGTCAAATAGCCTCTTGGGGAAATGTGGAGTGCAGAAAATCCTTCTTCCAACTTTGTCTTTCCTTTTGCCAAATCCTTCTGGGGCTCTAATCCTTTTAGGAGTTGCTTCCATTCAATTTCAGGTTTCCAACACAGTTCAAATCTGTGGAACCTGCATTGATTCTCTGCAAGAGAAATTTTGCTGCAGGATAAGTTTAAAACATCAGCCCTCAGCTAAGGCTTCACATGCATAATCTGTCGAAATATAGCTCTGTTATGTAAATATCCCTGTTAGAAAGACATGGGTTTGCTTTTGTTTTGGGGAGAGCTATATTTAAACTACAACAGACAAATGGACATACAGGTAGACTGAAACAAAAACTCAGCAGGGATTCTTCAAGTGAGAAGATCCAGTCTTATTGCCAATTGCATCAGTCCTCGAGATTCTGACATAGTAAGAGAAATGTTAAGCTTTTCTGCTTGCCTCCTTTCTGAAATGTTCAGTGGGTGGATGTATTTTAGTTTTATATTAGGTATGAAGAGCACCTACAACCTCTGGCGTAACCCTCACTAAATCCAGGTAGGATTTTTTGGCTTCTCTTCATACTCCCTGTCTCATGGCACTCTGCATGGAAAGCTCACTTAGAAATTCAGTAACGCCAGGTTTTCATCTGAGCTGTAACTGTAAGCAAAGGTGAGAGGTGCTCAGTGCATTTTTGACAGGAATGGCAATTCCTTTCCCTTCAATTGACAAAAGATGACAAATAAAACATTAAAGGGTACACTGAAAATCAAACAGTAAAAAATCAGAAGAGGATTGTGCTATTTCTTTGCCACGAAAGAGCAATAGAGATGTGTCTACTTTCTTTTTAGGGAACTACTAAATAAAACTGATGTTTTTCCTCTCTTACACCTATCCTTTTCCTGTTGTCGATGTCAAGTACACCTGTGAAAAAGACTGAAAAGCCTGTAAGCCAAATGAAAACCAGAATTGCCATTTTATAAAAGGGTTTTTGATTTGTTTTGTGATTTATGATGGAAAAATAAATCTCAAAACATATCATACAGCAGAAATCCTTCCAAAACCTATTCTGCTTCTTAATTTTTGGTTCACTATCCGTCAAAGCACTACTGTGTACAACAAAAAGGCCTTATTTCATAAATTCTTTGATATTGTTCAACTTTTGTAAAGACGCCCTTCCAGCTGAAGATTGTAGGATGGCATGTTTCAGATTACAGGAAAAACAAACTGAAGTGCAATTTCAAGTCAATTGCAAACAGATTCAGAATGAAGCAAAATGAAAGCACAGATTTTATTGTAAGCACTTAGAGAAACCATATTAACAGTTTTTAATCAAGGCAAATGTGGCTGAAGAATGTATTTTGTTTTTTTCTCAAAAGACTGCATTTTTTGAAAATAACTTTTAAATTTATTTTTCAGTTGCTCAGTTTATTACTATTATGAAGCAGTAACAATTTGAAAGGTTAGGATAGTTTATGTCTACCTAAATGTATCTAAAAATGGTGAAAACGTAGGGATCCTCAGTGTGCAGTGTTCCTGATGGGGATTCAACCCCTCCTGGGCTGTCTGAATTGCTAGTGAGAAGACAGAACATTATACAAGCACAGAAAACAGATACTTATTTTCCATTGCAGATTGAGTATGAGGAAAAGGAGCTGGGAAGGCAAGGAGCCAGGAGCCAGTTATCTTGAGTCGTAGGAAAAGTTGCAAACACTTTCATATTTAGATAAAGTAAGGGGTTTTGATATGATGAAGAAAAAAAAGTGCCCTTTTGTAACACATCTCAGTTATTGTTCCTAAAGCATCATTGATGCCATTCAGAGAAACACTTCTGCAAATGTTCAAGTGCACCAAACCGAGGAATGTGAGTGAGTGCATCTCTGCTTGTGTGTTCCTTAAACTGAACAGGGGCTTTACCGAAAGAGGCTTCAGGTTTTGTATAGATGGTTCTTTCTCACTCTTGCAATAAACTTTCATGCAAATTTTAGCTTGTAGGGTTACATCTCTACATCTCTAAAAGCCAAGGGTTTGGTTCACTCAGTCAAGATCTGAACCAAAGTCTTCTAAGAAACGTCTTTGTATTGGGCCTTCCCTGTTTTTGCTGATTTCTTTTTTTGTCTGTTTCTGTTG